TTGTCAGTATCACAACCATGCAACTTCAGAACCAGAATGCTCTTTTTTTTAGTTCTTTCCTTTGGTGATATATACAGGAGATCTCATGTATCGAAAGAGATCCCTAGTAATGAAGCAAATCTAAAACTATCCAACACATATATTGAAAAGAGTGAGCTAGATTCTACTGTCGATTACTGCAACTCTGTTGACTTCAATGGTAACAGCAGAACTTGGCCCAGTGTGCTTGGCTGGTCACTTTCTGTATTCTCTTATATCTGATATGTGTTTGAACAAGAGCTTCCTCCCTCCCTCACAACCCCACCTTGCCTAATGTTTGATCCAGAGAAGAAGTCATAATCTAGTGCTGGTGACTTCACAATCTGTTCCCCTGGAAACTTGATTTTTAATTGTGTATTACTGCAGTGCCTAGGAACCCTAGTCATGTGCTAGGCACTGTGCAAATACAGAAAAAAGATAAGTCCCTGCCCCAACCTCAGATAAGACAACAGATGGATAGACTGATGGGGGTGTATAGGGAAACAATGAAAGAGTGTTGGGCTGCATGGTAGGCAGTGGTCTCTGCACACTAGCTGCCTTACTGTTGTCAAGTTTTTGTAGGCATCCCAGAAAAGGAGGGATTTGAAAGTGGATAATGAGACTAGTGAAGGCAAATCTTCAGATTTGCAGATGTTATTGTGGAGCTCCTTCCAAGCATGAGGGGCAGCATGGGAGAAACCGTGAAGGTGCTTGTTTGAAAATTTAACAAGGGGGCAAGAGAGGCTGGCATTGTGGGTTAATCAGAGATGGGAGTCAACATATTGACAACAGTGTTGCCAGTTCTCGTGATTTTTTCACAAGTCATAGGATTTCAGCTGGGGCCGGAGCTAGTCTCACTGTGACACAAGAAGCTCCAGCCCTCTCACAAATTTCAGCCCTGCCTCAGAGAAACCCCCTCGGATTGGCTGCCTTCCCCACTAGCCTGCCTCCTTCGGAAGAGGAGCCATTTGCAGGAGCAGGCAGAGCTGCCTCTCCCATCTCCCAGAAGCTAGCACCATTCTCACAGGAGGCGAGGGAGCAGAAAGGGTTCAGCATCACTGCTGCTCCCCTCCTTCCTGTGAGGAATGGGATAAACCTCTCTGCTCCTCTCCCTCCCTGCAGCGTCCAACCGGGAATGCGGAGAAGGGAACCTTTCTGCAACTGCCCCTCAGGGCTGGGAGCATGGGGTGAGAACCCCTAGAGCTGCAGCAGGAGCTAAGGTGGGGTTGGGGGAACAGAACTGATGTGGGGACTGGAGGGGAAGAATTGATGTGAGGGCAGAATTAATTACTGGGCAGGGAGATGAGGGGGATACAGGGGTGAGAGCTCCTGAAGCAGGGGCCAAGTCACCTTACTTATGGGAGGTGGTAATACAGAGAAGGCGGGGGAAAGGGGGAGTTCAAAAAATCAAGACAAACCAAAAGAAACAATCTTTTTTAAAACCCCATAATCTGGGGGGGTCTGACTCATGATTTTTTAACCCTTAAGGTTGGCAATACTATGACTGTACATGAGAGAAGGTAAGTAGGGTGGGAATAGGCTGTGAAGGGCCTTCAAAGGGAAGACAGACAACTTATGTTTGAAGCAATAGAGAAAGGGGCGGCAGTGGAGGGCTGCAATGAGAGGATGACATAGTCAAAGCAACAGGCTAAGAAAATGATCTTTGCAGTAGCATTGGAAGTGATATGAGCAGGGCAAGACTGTATTTGTCAAGGCAAGAGAAAAAGCTGGAGTTGTAGCTGTTTACATGGATAGGAAAGACTGTATCTTAGCAAGTTATGTAGAAAGAATCTGCAAGATTTAGACATAGGCTGGATGTGATGAGCTAGAGGGAGGTCTGAGTCAAAGATAACAACCAGGTTATGGGCCTGAGTGATGGGCAGGATGATGGTGTTGTCTACAGGGATTGAGAAAGAAAGGTATTGGGGAGGGCATCTAGGTAGAAGGAGACAATGTGATGATGTATAGCCAGGATTACGACTTCACCACAGGACTAAGCAGGAAGAGAACGTGACTGGGAAGAAGTCCAAAGCCTTGTTCAAACCTAAATGCTTTCACTAACTAGCAGACATGAGGCAAGAAATGCTATGAAAAACAAGTGAAAAGATGAAGGGTTTATACTTTAGGTCTAATATGTGAAATTTTGTCTTCCTCAGTATGAAAGGTCTCTTTACAGTTTACCAATGATTTCCAGTGTGCTGCAGTGATTAGGCTAAATGATGAATAAAGTGAAAAATCTCTCCTTACCCAATACACATAAAGTAAAAGCTTCCTTCTATGGGTATGTCTACACTACGGAATAAGGTCGAATTTATAGAAGTCGGTTTTTTAGAAATCGGTTTTATATATTCGAGTGTGTGTGTCCCCACAGAAAATGCTCTAAGTGCATTAAGTGCATTAACACGGCGGAGCGCTTCCACAGTACCGAGGCTAGAGTCGACTTCCGGAGCGTTGCACTGTGGGTAGCTATCCCACAGTTCCCGCAGTCTCCGCTGCCCATTGGAATTCTGGGTTGAGATCCCAATGCCTGATGGGGCTAAAACATTGTCACGGGTGGTTCTGGGTACATATCGTTAGGCCCCCGTTCCCTCCCTCCCTCCGTGAAAGCAAGGGCAGACAATCATTTCGCGCCTTTTTTCCTGAGTTACCTGTGCAGACGCCATACCACGGCAATCATGGAGCCCGCTCAGGTAACCGTCACCCTATGTCTCCTGGGTGCTGGCAGACGCGGTACGGCTTTGCTGCACAGTAGCAGCAACCCATTGCCTTCTGGCAGCAGACGGTGCAATACGACTGGTAGTCGTCCTCGTCGTGTCCGAGGTGCTCCTGGCCACGTCGGCTGGGAGCGCCTGGGCAGACATGGGCGCAGGGACTAAATTTGGAGTGACTTGACCAGGTCATTCTCTTTAGTCCTGCAGTCAGTCCTATTGAACCGTCTTATGGTGAGCGGGCAGGCGATACGGACTGCTAGCAGTCGTACTGTACCATCTTCTGCCAGGCAGGCAAGAGATGAGGATTGCTAGTAGTCGTATTGTACCATCTTCTGCCAGGCAGGCAAGAGATGAGGATGGCTAGCAGTCGTACTGTACCATCTTCTGCTGAGCAGCCATGAGATGTGGATGGCATGCAGTCCTTCTGCACCGTCTGCTGCCAGCCAAAGATGTAAAAGATAGATGGAGTGGGTCAAAACAAGAAATAGACCAGATTTGTTTTGTACTCATTTGCCTCCTCCCCTGTCTAGGGGACTCATTCCTCTAGGTCACACTGCAGTCACTCACAGAGAAGGTGCAGCGAGGTAAATCTAGCCATGTATCAATCAGAGGCCAGGCTAACCTCCTTGTTCCAATAAGAACGATAACTTAGGTGCACCATTTCTTATTGGAACCCTCCGTGAAGTCCTGCCTGAAATACTCCTTGATGTACAGACACCCCCTTTGTTGATTTTAGCTCCCTGAAGCCAACCCTGTAAGCCGTGTCCTCAGTCGCCCCTCCCTCCATCAGAGCAACGGCAGACAATCGTTCCGCGCCTTTTTTCTGTGCGGACGCCATACCAAGGCAAGCATGGAGGCCGCTCAGCTCACTTTGGCAATTAGGAGCACATTAAACACCACACGCATTATCCAGCAGTATATACAGCACCAGAACCTGGCAAAGCGATACCGGGCGAGGAGGCGACGTCAGCGCGGTCAAGTGAGTGATCAGGACATGGACACAGATTTCTCTGAAAGCATGGGCCCTGCCAATGCATGCATCATGGTGCTAATGGAGCAGGTTCATGCTGTGGAACGCCGATTCTGGGCTCAGGAAACAAGCACAGACTGGTGGGACCGCATAGTGTTGCAGGTCTGGGACGATTCCCAGTGGCTGCGAAACTTTCGCATGCGTAAGGGCACTTTCATGGAACTTTGTGACTTGCTTTCCCCTGCCCTGAGGCACATGAATACCAAGATGAGAGCAGCCCTCACAGTTGAGAAGCGAGTGGCGATAGCCCTGTGGAAGCTTGCAACGCCAGACAGCTATTGGTCAGTTGGGAATCAATTTGGAGTGGGCAAATCTACTGTGGGGGCTGCTGTGATGCAAGTAGCCCACGCAATCAAAGATCTGCTGATATCAAGGGTAGTGACCCTGGGAAATGTGCAGGTCATAGTGGATGGCTTTGCTGCAATGGGATTCCCTAACTGTGGTGGGACCATAGACGGAACCCATATCCCTATCTTGGCACCGGAGCACCAAGCCGCCGAGTACATAAACCGCAAGGGGTACTTTTTGATAGTGGTGCAAGCTCTGGTGGATCACAAGGGACGTTTCACCAACATCAACGTGGGATGGCCGGGAAAGGTGCATGATGCTCGCATCTTCAGGAACTCTGGTCTGTTTCAAAAGCTGCAGGAAGGGACTTTATTCCCAGACCAGAAAATAACTGTTGGGGATGTTGAAATGCCTATATGTATCCTTGGGGACCCAGCCTACCCCTTAATGCCATGGCTCATGAAGCCGTACACAGGCAGCCTGGACAGTAGTCAGGAGCTGTACAGCTACAGGCTGAGCAAGTGCAGAATGGTGGTAGAATGTGCATTTGGACGTTTAAAGGCGCGCTGGCACAGTTTACTAACTCGCTTAGACCTCAGCGAAACCAATATTCCCACTGTTATTACTGCTTGCTGTGTGCTCCACAATATCTGTGAGAGTAAGGGGGAGACGTTTATGGCGGGGTGGGAGGTTGAGGCAAATCGCCTGGCTGCTGGTTATGCGCAGCCAGACACCAGGGCGGTTAGAAGAGCACAGGAGGGCGTGGTACGCATCAGAGAAGATTTGAAAACTAGTTTCATGACTGGCCAGGCTACGGTGTGAAAGTTCTGTTTGTTTCTCCTTGATGAAACCCCCCGCCCCTTGGTTCACTCTACTTCCCTGTAAGCTAACCACCCTTCCCCTCCTCCCTTCGATCACCGCTTGCAGAGGCAATAAAGTCATTGTTGCTTCACATTCATGCATTCTTTATTCATTCATCACACAAATAGGGGGATGACTACCAAGGTAGCCCAGGAGGGGTGGTGGAGGAGGGAAGGAAAATGCCACACAGCACTTTAAGCACAGCACTTTAAAAGTTTACAACTTTAAAATTTATTGAATGACAGCCTTCTTTTTTGGGGGCAATCCTCTGTGGTGGAGTGGCTGGTTGGCCGGAGGCCCCCCCACCGCGTTCTTGGGCATCTGGGTGTGGAGGCTATGGAACTTGGGGAGGAGGGCGGTTGGTTACAGAGGGGCTGCAGTGGCAGTCTGTGCTCCAGCTGCCTTTGCTGCAGCTCAACCATACACTGGAGCATACTGGTTTGGTCCTGCAGCAGCCTCAGCATTGAATCCTGCCTCCTCTCATCACGCTGCCGCCACATTTTAGCTTCAGCCCTGTCTTCAGCCCGCCACTTACTCTCTTCAGCCCGCCACTTACTCTCTTCAGCCCGCCACCTCTCCTCCCGGTCATTTTGTGCTTTCCTGCACTCTGACATTATTTGCCTCCACGCATTTGTCTGTGCTCTGTCAGTGTGGGAGGACAGCATGAGCTCGGAGAACATTTCATCGCGAGTGCGTTTTTTTTTTCTTTCTAAGCTTCACTAGCCTCTGGGAAGGAGAAGATCCTGTGATCATTGAAACACATGCAGCTGGTGGAGAAAAAAAAAGGGACAGCGGTATTTAAAAAGACACATTTTATAAAACAGTGGCTACACTCTTTCAGGGTAAACCTTGCTGTTAACATTACATACATAGCACATGTGCTTTCGTTACAAGGTCGCATTTTGCCTCCTCCCACCGCGTGACTACCCCCTCAACCTTCCCCCCTCCCTGTGGCTAATAGCGGGGAACATTTCTGTTTAGCCACAGGCAAACAGCCCAGCAGGAATGGGCTCCTCTGAGTGTCCCCTGAAGAAAAGCACTCTATTTCAACCAGGTGACCATGAATTATATCTCACTCTCCTGAGGATAACACAGAGAGATAAAGAACGGATGTTGTTTGAATGCCAGCAAACATACACTGCAATGCTTTGTTCTACAATGATTCCCGAGTACGTGTTACTGGCCTGGAGTGGTAAAGTGTCCTACCATGAAGGACGCAATAAGGCTGCCCTCCCCAGAAACCTTTTGCAAAGGCTTTAGGACTACATCTAGGAGAACCGCAAATGCCAGGGCAAAGTAATCCTTTCACATGCTTGCTTTTAAACCATGTATAGTATTTTAAAAGGTACACTCACCAGAGGTCCCTTCTCCACCTGCTGGGTCCAGGAGGCAGCCTTGGGTGGGTCCGGGGGGTACTGGCTCCAGGTCTAGGGTGAGAAACAGTTCCTGGCTGTCGGGAAAACCGGTTTCTCCGCTTGCTTGCTGTGAGCTATCTACAACCTCCTCATCATCATCATCTTCTTCGTCCCCAAAACCTGCTTCCGTATTGCCTCCATCTCCATTGAAGGAGTCAAACAACACGGCTGGGGTAGTGGTCGCTGAACCCCCTCAAATGGCATGCAGCTCATCATAGAAGCGGCTTGTTTGGGGCTCTGACCCAGAGCGGCTGTTTGCCTCTTTGGTTTTCTGGTAGGCTTGCCTCAGCTCCTTCAGTTTCACGCGGCACTGCTTCGGGTCCCTGTTATGGCCTCTGTCCTTCATGCCCTGGGAGATTTTGACAAAGGTTTTGGCATTTCAAAAACTGGAACGGAGTTCTGATAGCACGGATTCCTCTCCCCAAACAGCGATCAGATCCCGTACCTCCCGTTTGGTCCATGCTGGAGCTCTTTTGCGATTCTGGGACTCCATCATGGTCACCTGTGCTGATGAGCTCTGCATGGTCACCTGCAGCTTGCCACGCTGGCCAAACAGGAAATGAGATTCAAAAGTTCGCGGTTCTTTTCCTGTCTACCTGGCCAGTGCGTCTGAGTTGAGAGTGCTGTCCAGAGCGGTCATAATGGAGCACTCTGGGATAGCTCCCGGAGGCCAATACCATCGAATTGTGTCCACAGTACCCCAAATTCGAGCCGGCAACGTCGATTTAAGCGCTAATACACTTGTCAGGGGTGGAGTAAGGAAATTGATTTTAAGAGCCCTTTAAGTCGAAATAAAGGGCTTCATTGTGTGGACGGGTGCAGGTTTACACCGATTTAACGCTGCTAAATTCGACCTAAATTCGACGTAATGTAGACCAGGGCTATGTGTGTGGAGGGCGCCGGGCACAGGAGAACCATGCAGAGACATACGTTGATGTACTGGGCAGGGGAGAGAGGGCAGAGGGGTGCAGAAGATTACATAGTAGGCACAATTCCATAGGGGCTCTCTCATCCCAGTGTGTAGGAGTTTGTGCAGGAGGGAGACTGCATCTGTAACTCTGCTGTACTGTTCGTTTCCCAGAGAGAGGTGAGATGGGGGCATGCAAATAGCCATGGGGGCTACTGCAGGCCTGAGAGAACACCCCAAGCCCTGAAGCTCCTCTGTTATTTTGTAGCATAGATTGAGATGAGGGGAGAAAATTCCTTCACCTGTCCAACCTTCAAAGGATCTCACCAGTTCTTTCCTAGGTATAGCCCATGTCTGTAGACTGAGTGCCAGAATTAGGGTTTGGCCATAAAGAATACAGGCAGGGTGTTATGCAGGCAGTGTTATGTCATACTGTGCTACTAGCTGTCCTAAACTCTAACAGAGCTGTATTCTTGAACTTGAATCCCCTAGGGCAGTAGAACTGCTTTGTGAATAGCAAGGCTCTCAGGATGTGGTGCACATTAATAGATACGTAGCTAGACTGCTACTGAAATGCGATTGTGATCGCACTCACCAATTCGCCTGGAATGAATTTTAGAATCCTGAATATTTCACTAGTTCATTCAGATACATCCATGCTGAAAAATCTGCTTTCCTCTTCATGGTCAAGGCTCAAGTCTCACTCCATATTTAACATTGACATATCTGCCTAGCAATCAGTGTTTCCCTCAGGTGGTATGTGGATATCCTACAAAAACAGATGAGCACATGTAGAAGCTGCTCCATTTCCTGACACAATTTGGGAGGGATTTTTCTATATTTGGCTTTTTAAAAATTAGAAAGTGGTATTACAAGTATCATGCCTTATAATCATGGTATTTATAGCCCTTATTATCACTTCTGGTGCAATTCAGAGTATTAAATTATACTTCAGATATAACTCGGTACTGTACAGTCTTCACTTATGGTTCCCACAGTAACTGCAACTCACCCGTCTTGAATATGTCCTACTTTGACTATTAGTGTTAATTAAAAGTGCCTTAATATTTGTGTTTAATGTGGCAGAATTCAATAGCTGTAGGAAATGTGACTGAATTTCCTGACTTTTGTGCAAAATTGCAAGCATAATATTGCATTAATACACTCGTTGCATGTAACATCCTTGAGCTTTCCTAGGAAATAGAATAATGAGTGGTGACCAGGTATTGTCCTGGCTATTAAATCACTAGGGGCCCAACTCCTGCATAGTGCTCACTATGGTGAGCTGTACATTTCATCGGATGTTCAGAAGCAGTGGTCCCAAGTAGCTTTGTACCACAGGATCTACAAACTGAGATAATAGATGAAACTAAAATCCCTGAGGCACTGCTTTCTCCTTTACCTTTTCTTGATGATTAAGACTGGCCTAAAACAGCCTGTAATGAGAAAGTAGTTAGACATAATGAAACAAAAACTTGCCTGCTTAGATTTAGAGCCTTTATTATTTAGGTAATGGTGCTAACTACTGTAGTGTTTAGATTTAAATAGCTGTAAATTTTAGGTTTTACCTTTTTAAAAGTTGCAAATGTGCTGGGAACAAGTGATTCAGAATAAAATCAGTATAATAGTGTAGCATGAAACACTGTTACAAACATTCCCATCTACCTGCAAAGTGAGATCTGAGAATACTGAGTCAGACTACCACCGTGTTGTAACTCAGTCCTCTGATTCAGTTGCATTTGTAAAGTACACAGTCCCTGTGGCAAACTCTTAATTGCTGGAGTTCAGGTTTCACTTTAGTTAATTGCTTACTTACCCAATTTGTGTGCACAAAAACATGTACCACAAGGTTTTCCCTGAAAAATTTGGTCTTGAAAATATAGCCTTAGCAATCTACCAATGTGTCAACATTTGCACAGAAGAATTATGAAAATTATGAATTATGTGTGTCTCCAACAAAACTCAACCCATATATTGAAATTATTTCACTGGGATGCGGTGTGATCCAGTGGTTAACCCCAGTTCTGACAATGACTTACTGTGTTATCTTGGTCAAGTCACATCACTGCTCTCTGCCTCAATTTCCCCAGTATCTGTAATGTGGGGACAGTGACACTTCCTTCCTTTTTGTAGGGTGCTTTAAGATTTGTAGATAAAAGTACTATATAAAAGAGCTAAGTATTATTATTCTGAGTAACCCCATTGCTGTGTTTTAACCTGATATATCTGTATTTCATGAGTGAGTTGGGACATAGATTTAGTTTAGGTGATAGGAAGTCTGTGTTTCTTTTTTTATTTATATTTTTATGTAGGTACACAACTTAGCAGGAAAGGAGACCTAATAATGGACAACATCAAGGAGGCTGGGGTGTTTAATGCCTATTTTACTTCAGTCTTCACTAAAAACAGTTAATGGTGACCAGATGCTTAATATAATATTAACAAGGAGAAAGAAATACAAGACAGAATATGGAAAGAACAGTTTAAAGAATATTTATATAAATTAGATGTATTTGAGTTAGCAGGGCCTGACAAATTTCACCCTAGGGTTCTTAAAGAATTAGTTGTTGCATTCTTGGAAACATTAGCAATTATCTTCAAAAAGTCATGGAGAACTGCAGAAAGATACTATGTTTGCTCATCTTTAGAAAGAGCAACAGAGAGGACCCAGGGTATTATAAACCACTCAGCCTAACTTCAATACCTAGAAAGATACTGAAGCAAATTATTAACTATCAATGTATAAGCATCTAGAAGAACATTAGATGATAAGTAATAGCCAACATGGGTTGGTCAAGAACAAATCATCCCAAACCAACCTACTTTCCTTCTTTGACAGGGTTACTGACCACATGTATAGAAGGGAAGCAGTAGACAAGATATATCTTAATTTTATTAAGGTTGTAATTTAGTAAGTTTTAGTTTAGGAATGCCCACAGGACATTCTCATAAGCAAACTAAGGAAATGTGCTCTAAGTTAAATTATTATAAGGTGGGTGCATAACTGATCAAAAAAACATACTCAAGGAATAGTTATCAATGATTTGCTTGCAAACTGGGAAGCCATAAATAGTGGGGCCCCGCAGGAATCAGTTCTTAGTCTGGTATGAGTCAATATTTTCATTAATGACTATGATAATGGAGTGGAGAGTATGCTTATAAATTTTAAAGGTGACATCAACCTGGGAGGGGTTACTAGCACTTTGGAGGAAGGATTAGAATTCAAAATGTCTTTGATAAATTGGAGAATTGGTATGAAATCAACAAGATGAATTTCAATAAAGGCAAATGCAAAATACTACACTTATGAAAAAAATCAAATGCACAACTATAAAATGGGAAATAAATGACTCGGCGGTAGTGCTGCTGAAAAGGATCTGGGGGTTATAGTGGATCACAGATTGAATATGAGCCAACAATATAAATGTAGTTGCAAAAAAAGCTA